AGGAGGAGGAGGAGGAGGAGGAGGAGGAGGAGGAGGAGGAGGAGGAGGAGGAGTATATATATATATATATATAGCGAACGATCAGGATGATCAATGACAAGGGAAAAAGGGCCAACCTAGGAGGCAGCCTATGCCACCTAGGTTGGCGGGGGGACGACAGGAGGCGGAGGAGGGCGCGTGGGTGGGGGGAGAGAAGCAGGGCGGCGCCTGATGGCGGCCACGGCCGCCGCGTGGTCGGCCGCAACCGCGGCGCCCCCAAACGGCGCCACGCGCCGTGCGCGGGGGGCCGCGCTCGCCGCTCTCTCTCCCTCTCCCTCCCCGTCTCTCGCACTCGCCCTCTCCCTCCGCTCCTTCCCCCAAACACGACTGCCAGGGACCTTGCCCTGGGAAATCCTGGTGAGATTCTGGGACCCCCCGCCTGGCCCTCGGAGGCCTCCGGGGGACGCCCCAAGCCGCCGGTGACCTCTGGGGACCTGCAGGGAACTCCCACGTTCGAGTAGGGGATGGACTACATAATTGGTGCACCAGCAAAACTGATGTTTGTCGTCGGGTGAAAGAACCATGCGTCTAATGTGCAGAAGAGCTGCAACAGTTAAACCTTTCTCGCATATTCGAACCAGCAATCAAGCTTCTGGTAAATAGACTCGGTCATCGATCCCCTACTCGACACATAGGGGGGAGGAAGGGAAGCCTGGGTTGCGCGCAGGCAACCACCGGAGGTATTCCCGGCTGGCCTCAGCAGGCCCAGGGCCAGCCAGGGGCTGTGTCCACAGCCCTCCAGTCACCAGTCGTTTCCTGGCGTGCTCCGCGGGGTTGGGGTGTTGAGCCTGCTCTGTAGGGCTACCTCGAGGAGCTGGCCGTGCGTAACCCCAAGCGTTGCCATGCGAATGGGGGTCGCTCGGATCCAAGCGTCTCGGAACAGACAGGCAGCTGGCATTTGTTGCCCCATTCGGGACCTCGGGGCCCTCACGGATCAATATGGTTCGAGAAATGCCGCAAACAGAAAGGGTCAGAAACTTCGGCCGCGCTCTTTCGCTACGTGATCTTTTCAAAGCAGCGGACTCCCCGGGGATGGGTGGTCCAAAGGAAAGGAGGAGGAGGAGAACGAAGCTAGGGACCAGCGCGTCACCGAGGAAGGTCCATCAAGCGGATGGCATGGGGCCTGCCTGTGGGTAGGAAGCCCCCAGTGCTGCTTGACATCGCTCGAAGATCAAGCATTGACAGAAACATGTGCTGTCGGAGGTCCGCGCTAATTTGTTGAATCGGCGCTGGACCTCCCCTGTCTGGCGCGCGGAGCGCGTCAGGGCGGCGCCAGAGGTGCGGCCGGGGGGGCCCCAGCGCCGATCCAACAAATCTCCGCGGAGCTCCAAAAGTTTAACGTGTAGACTACCTTCTTCTCGACTCGCAGCATCTAGGACTCAGGCAACAGAATTGGACGGTACCTCTCCAAACCGATGGTGGGCAGTAACAAAATGTGCGCTTGCTGAAGAACGAGATCATCTTGCTACAGGGGGAACTTTCGATGCCATGAGATCGCGCTCCTTGGGTGCAACGAGCAAGACGGGAGACGGAGGACGAAGACATGGCAAAGGTGAATCGCGAGCGTGCGCCGACTGGCGTGGATGGACGGCGCGCGCACATGATCGCCCTCGCGAGTACAAGCGGAGGAGAAAAAGGATGGGAAGGCGGAAAAGGAGGGGGAAGACGTGAGAAGGGTGACGAGGATGCTCTGGGGATGATTTGTCCAGCCGTCGTCGTACCTGCGTGAGCAAAGTTCGATCGATACCACAACTGCTCGTGATCTTCACCAACCGTTCGACTCAGCGAGCGAGGGGGGAACCACAGTCGAAGCGAACTAGACTGAGAGGGATGGCGACGATATGGAGACCAGCAACAGACATGGAGGACAGCTTGCCAAGCGATTGGTGGGTAGTGTTAGGTCGGGCAAGTCCCCCTACAGGCCGATCTTCGACGAAACATTCAAACTACTCAAAAGGTACCATGGTAAAACACATACTCGAAACATCGTCCGCTGACTTTTGCTTGTACTATGTTTGCACACTCCTCCTGCAAAGGGAGCGTGCCAGACTTGAGGGCAACGAGAAACCAGCACCATCGCGCGCGCGCGCGCTCCGCGTGCGCTCCGGTTCCTCGCAGACCCGGGAGGGCCCTGCCGGAGAGGACCCTCTCTGGAGCGTCTGGAGGCTCCCCTGGGCAGGGGTGTGACTACCTACCAGACCACCCCAACCCAACCCGAAGACCCGAATTTGACCTGAATTCGACCCACATGGAGGGCAAGTTGAGGCCTTCGGGTTGGGTTGGGGTGGTTTGGTAGGCGGTGAGGGTGGGCCACCCGGGGGCCGGCCTGAGCTCCTCTTGGCTTTCTGGGCGGTGCTGGGGCGAAACGTCGTCGTCGTCGTCGTCGCCACTCAGGGTCGGCGGCACTGGCCGTAAGGCCTTCGCGATATGAAGCCTCTTACCAGCCTGGAACATATCCCTATCCCTAAGCTGGGCATCGCCTCATCACAATGCCAATTTTAGGGATTCCCTCAGTTTTTCAGGGCGCATCCCTAAGATTGTCATCGCCTTTTGGCGTGTCGATCTTAGGGATAGGGATCAGATCGAGGCTGGTGACTCTTGGCTTTCCTGGGCGGTGCTGGGGCGAGACGTCGTCGTCGTCTTCGCCACTCAGGGTCGGCGGCACTGGCCGTGAGGCCTTCGCGATATGAAGCCTCCTTAGCCGTCCGGGTCGCGCGGACGACCGACCAAAACGAGAGAGTAATCATTTTCAAAGTTCTAGAATTCGAGACTTGATGATTCTGGACCCTGGGGAACTCTCAAGAATTCTCGTCGGAGCTGTCGTGAATCATTTTGGGGGCGTTCGAGCTGTCCTTGGGCCCTCTTGAGGGTCTCTTCTCGAGTCTTCATGTCCTCACCGAGCTCCCTGGCGCGATCAGGGAGCCCTCGCAAGCTGTGTTCCGAGGCTCAGGCAAGGGCCCACAACACCCAGGACCTCGGGCGGGTGCTTATGGGGGGTGACCTACGTGGGGGGCGAAGACACGGGCCCAAAGGGGCCCCTCAGGGGCCCTTGTGGGCTCCTGCTGGCTCCACCAGGAGCTCTAAAGGGCACCTTTAGGGCCCTTTTCTTCACCCCGCATTTATGTCACCCCCCATTACCACCCGCCCGAGGACCCCGTGCCCATGGCCCGGCCTCGGCATGGAGAAAGGAGGCCGGGCTCCCCACGGGCCTACAACCCATCGGCAACGCCGTGCTATATGCCAGGCCAGAATGGGAAAGAGCGAGAAGGGAGGAGCTGGATGGTGGAGGGCCACGAGAGAGAGGAGGCGGAGGAGGGCAGAGGGTGCAGAGGTGGAAGGGAGAGCAGGGGACGTGAGATTGGAAGAATGATGATCGCATCCCCCGCTCCTGGCCCAGCCAGCCATACGACTGACAAAGATACGCGGAGACTCTCTGTCTGGAAAGTACAGCAGGTTGCCGTACGAGGTGGCGTATAGGGAGTGCGGTCGAATGCACAGCGGCTGGTGGCCCACCTGATGGAAATACTACGATGTGGCGCAATCGAAGCCACAACACAGGTCTTCAACACGGACGCTCATTTGAATGTAGATATAACAGCAATTCAAACACACGTTGCGTCGAATGCTGATGGGCGAATCGCAAGCGTGCCCGCATAACGTACACGAGCGATACACACTCATGAACGGCAGCTTCACCATGGCATGGCACGAATGCTACTTGTCACGCGTATGACATGCAACAGCCAGTTGGTCAACAGCTGCCCAACTACGAGAGCAGCGCTGGTGCGGCAGAGCGCCAGAGAAAAATATCGAGCACGATTGTTCAAAATTTGTTGCGAACTGGTTTGCGGCCTGAATCGACTACGTCCACTGAACTATCACATGTCGGAGCCCTCGAACCTTGCCTGGCCAAGCACATGTGCAAATCGGCAGCCTGGACGATCCCTTTTCCATCGCTATGCCTTGCCAGACGCATGTCATGAACTCAGATGTTCACCAGCGCGGGCTCTAAACAGTAGACCCTTGCACCTTCCATGTGCAATGTTTGTGGCGCAATGCGCGTGCGTTATACGTTATGTGTGATGCAAGCTACGTGGTGCAATTTATGTATTGCAACATCACAACCTGTGGTGCAATGAACTCATGTCCACTGATAGGTTGGTAACTCTACTGCTCGCGCTATCGCCCCACCCTCCAACCCGCAACTTGTGTTACACATCCAATGCGGACGCGACTGCGGCGACTCCTTGTCCCTGGCTTGCGTCTCTGCGGCTGCGCTAACGCGCGCAATCTCGCACCCAAAACGGCCAACTGGTCTGACACAGCCAGTGCGGCCGCGATATCTCTTTCCGATGGGAGCTTTCCAGCGCGCCTCAAAGGCCGTGCTGGCGCGCGGGCTCTTCGGTGCGTGTCGGTGGCTCGGGCGGGTTCGGTATCATAATGTGGCCGGCAGAAGCAGCAACGACAATGAAAGTAGCGATGGTGGTGGCGGTGATGATGATGATGATGATGATGATGATGATGATGATGATGATGATGATGATGATGATGATGATGATGATTGAAGGGGCCCAAGGACACACAAATAAATGAACACAAATACCAATATTCCTCATATGTTATTATATTTTCTGGGTTTTTGTCTTCCCCCCCACTTCCCATATTTTCCCACATTTCCCTGGGAATCGAGGACTACTTGTGTCTGTGTGTTTCCCCCCCCCCTGAATGATGATGATGATGATGATGATGATGATGATGATGCTGATGATGATGATGATGATGATGATGATGATTATGATGATAATGACGACAGCAATGTCAATGACGGTTTCGATGCTGATGCCGGCGGTGACGAGGATAATGTCCAAGCGTCGGTGGCAAGGCTCATTGCCAGCTGATGGTGGCACTGGCGGCAATTGGTGATGACGAGGCCAGCGGTGATGCGGCGGCGATGATGAAGGAGATGACGAAGGCACCGCATGCTCGGAAAAGCAAGTAATATGGTAGACTTTTTGTCGGCAAGCAATTCGTTGTTTCTCATGTTTTGAAGCGCTCCATCTTGACCTGCTTCGAAAACCAATGATTACGGACGCATTTCGCCACGCGCGCGTGGAAGCACGCGCGTGGCCCGCAAATTTATATTGGATACGGGTTCGTGCGCTGGGCGCGTGCTGGGTGAATGCGGATGCACCGTGTGGTGAGATGAGAAAGTGGGTTCCGGACGAGATTGCTAAACTCAAATGGTTGCCCAGTGAATTCACCCAATGCTTCGGGCAGAACATCTGCATAACTTGCGATGAAAACCCTCCGGGTTGATGACGTGTGTGGTTGAAACGCTTGCAACACGGCTGTATTTGGTATCATGTTTCGACATGCGCGCGTGTTGACGTCGTGCCACGTTTAGCAAGGGACTCAGGTCTTCGTGGTCAGCGAATGCGCACGCATAGTATGGTTTGACAAGGATGGCTGGGGGGCGATACCCAATTCTCCTGGGATGGTATGATATCAAATGTAAAATGAACGGCGGTGCGGAATCAGATGCAAACTGCAACGCCCCAAGGGGATCCGTAACCCTCGGGTGGAGGGTGGTAGAGTCGATTCTTCTTTTTGAAAAAGATATCCACCTTGCAAGCCTTGAAGCCGAAAGACTCCACTACTCGCGCAATCATCCCACCCTCCCACACGCAACTTCTTTTGCACTGCACATGCGGCCGAGATTGCGGTGACTACTGGACAATTGTTGGCACATTTCTGCGGCTGCGCTAGTGCGCACAAACTCGCGCGCAGAGCGGCCAACAAGTTTGAAACAACCAACACGGCCGCGATGGCACTCAACGATCGGAGTTTCTCAGCGAGTCTCAAAAGCCGCGCTGGCGCGCGTGCGCTTCAGTGCGGGTCGGCAACAGTGATAACAATAGCGAGGGTGGCGATGATGACGATGACGACGACAAGGCCAATGACGGCATCGATGCTGGTGACGACGGTGACGATGAGAATGCCCATGTGTCGGTGATGAAGGTGATTGGCCGGCAATGGCGGCGACTGGCGATGACAAAACCAGCGGTGATGCGGTGGCGCTGATGAGGGCGATGGTGTGGAACTGCGCGCGCGGAAATGACGGAAACCTCAGGGAGGGAGGGAGGGAGGGAGGTGTTTGGCAAAGCCATAAATCGGCGGTGGACAAACCTCTCTTTAGCAAACCTCCCCTTAGTGAAAACGGCCTGGGACAGAAACCGACGGACCTGGACCCGCAAAAATGACGGCCGCGACGCCATCTCGCGAACCGAAAACGGCCAATTCCTTAATCGACGTGTCAGGGTAGGAGGTCTGTCCACCTCCAAATACATTGAAATTCTTCGAGCACTAAATGGTTGCGGAAGGACCCCGGCACGCGCGCGTGGCGGCACGCGCGTGGCCCGCAGGGTTACATTTGAACTGGGCTCGTGCACTGGGCGCGTGCTAGCTTAACGCGGATGCACCGCGTGGAGAAAAAAGGGAACGCGGGTTCTGGACGATATTGCAAAGGGCGTAGGAGTTCCCCACGATGTCGACACATGCGCGCGGGCAGTCACGGTCTGTAAGATCTGTGACTGAACCACTGGTTCGTGCTGCTCTGATGCCGCATGCTTTCGACATGTGCGCGCGTGCGAAGGCTATATACGTAACTAGTTTCCAAGGGCCCATGAAGCATTGCTGTTTTGAGATAAGCGGATGTGCGCGCATGGTGCTATCTGACATAGATGAGGGTGGCGATGTCCGCCTGTGCTGGGATGTTATGAATTCATTTGGGCAATGAACGATAAAACAACATCGTGTGTACACTGCTATCCCAAGGTGTGCCGCTAAAGCTGGCGGGGGGTGAGAGTGGTGGAGCCCATCTTCCTGTAGAAAGAATGTATGATGTGTGATCTGCGTGGCGCAGCGTAGGAGGGGCAATTCACACGTGGACACTGCAGTCATCAACTCCCGCGCTCGTGTAAACACCCCGCCCTCCCACCCGCAACTGAATGGCAATGTTCATGTGGCCGCGATCTCAACGAACGCACGGGCGCGCGGAATTGAATCGGGCAGACGAGTCTGTCCTGCAAGTTGCGAAACGGTGGCGGCGAGGATGGCGACCGCGACGCCAACAACGATGGAAATGACAGCGGTGATGGCGCTGATTCCAATGGCGATGGCAGTTGACTTGGGGACGGTACGGTGTCGACGGCGACGACACCGATGGTGATGAACCTGATGGTTAGGAGAATGACGCTGGCAACAACGTCGCTGTCGAGGATGATGTCGATGGTGGTGGTGGTGGTGATGATGAAGATGTGCCCGCGCGCAGAAATTCGAGGGCAGCGGCCGTGATCCAATAGATGGTGATGATCGTGATGACGATGGCAGAGATGACGCCGACGGTGTTGATAACTCATTGGTGATGGCTGTGATGAGGAAGGGCGCGCCCGCAAAATGTCAGCCACCATGACATGACACATCCTTTTTGAAAAAGATCGGACTGTCGTACGTAATTGCACACACGAAATGTTGGACGATTGCAAACAACACGAACGGTTTTGGACAGATGTCGACGTTCGCGCGCGCAGAAAAGCGCGTGGCCTGCATACATCCCCAAGACGAAAGTTTGTTCCTCTTGGGCCCGGAACGACGGTGTGAAGTCTTGAGCAGAGCCGTGTGAGATAACCGCCGTCGGATCCCATGAAGTTCGCGCGGGTCCCAATGTGGTTTTGGTGTTTGTGTCGGTGGATCCGATTTCCGTCCGTACGGATCCGATTTCGGATTCGCTGGATCCGTGTCTGGTCTTATTTTTTACGGCGGATCCGATTTCTACCCTGTTGTAAATTTTTATTATTAAATTAAACCAGGGGACCGGAAGAAATCGGATCCGCGGACCCCGCAAACCGCCCGTGTTAAGATTCTATGGGGGAGGGGGGTTCGGTAATCAACTTCCCACGATGGGCCCTGCGTCGTCTCGCGCACTCCCATCAACTCCCCGCGCGAGCGGGCTCCATTCAACATGTATACATACATCCCTCCCCCCCCCGGGTTGCTGCAAACAGCTCGTCCGGTCGCCGTCCGTTCGGCGGCGCCGACGTTGTCTCGCGAACTCCTCATGGCCATTTTCACCTCAAGAGGAAAATCTTTCGTCCTGCGTAAGTACGTTGGTGGGCGATTGACGATGCTTGAAAGTTTTCGGCATGCGCGCGCGATGAGCCCGCGCAGAACGGGTAAACACCGGCGGCTTTCTTCCAATGTTCAAGCTATGCGTGCGCGCAGATGTCTGTCAACCGTTTGGTTCAAAGACACTGCGTTTGCCCCTTTCTGAATGGCAGTGGTTTGCATAAGTTCGCGAAATAATTGCTTGAACATTAATTTGGCGTGCACACGCGGCGACGCGCGCACGTGCCCCTTTTAGAATGTTACGCAAGAGATCACTAAATCAAGCAATTCTTTGATCAGCGCATGCGCATCGCATACTGTGTTGCATGAGATGGCGTGAAGTGGTGAAAACCGACATGGCTGGTATGCTACTCCTTCGCATTTCTGATGAAACATCGTGCACAACAGCGATGAACAAACAATACATGGAGGGGCGCGGATAACACCAGCAGCGGTAGCGGGGGTGGAGGTCTAAACATCTATTTTGGGAGGCAGAAACAAGGAAGGCATGCAACAGTGGCTGCAAGCTACGAGATGCTAGCTATGTGCGCGATACAGAAACAAAGAGGCAAACAATATGGTGCTAGTCATGGGGGTACAGTGCACGTGGTGCACTCTTGGGCAGTCTATGAGGCGCAAATTACCCACAGTGCAGCATCCGCGCGTGATCACCTCCCATGCTCGCTCGAACATCCAACCCACCCACCCACCCGCAACTTGTTGGTAACACTCATTGACCATGTTCCCAGCAACCGCATGGGCGAGCGGAATTCAACCGCGCAGAACAATCCGTCCTGCAGGACACGAAATGGCGATTCACATAACTAGTGGCGACGGCGACGGCAAAGGGGACAACAGCGGCGACTATGTTTATGTCCCTAGCGACAGTGGATGATATGTCTACGACGAGGTGATGTTGATGAAGCGGATGGTGATGATAATGACGGTGGTGGCAGTGACAAGGGCGATGACGATGCTGGCGAGGATGGCGAGGGAGTTCGTGTGCACAGAAGCTTGTTGAGGGCGACGACATCGACCATGATGTTGGCGGCGCTCCTGATGTCGACCACGGTGATGGCGATTATGGGACGATGGCATTGATAACGCTGGCGATGGTAACTCGCCGGCCCAACGGGCCAGAGGCGTGCTTAGATCTCTGATAACAGGTTCACAGTATTTCTAGTTCGCGCGCAAGGGGGGGGCCATGGGGATCCCTGGACGAAAAGTACCCCGTCCGATGCCCGCATGATGCCTGGCTGACCCCCCCAGGGCGCTCCAGGAGCGCGCCAAGAGGGTGCCGGGACGCCCCCTACATGACCCAAGAGGCCCCGAGTCGCCGAAAGATCGCTCCAAGACGCTCAAGATTGATTGTCTCCAGATGGCCCGAGACACCTACGATGACCTCCAGACGGCCCACGACGCGTACAAGACCCCCGAAGAGGCCACCAAGAGGCCTCCCAAGAGAGCCTCTTGGGGCCCCGAGAGGCCAAAATCGTAAATTTTACCATGGTTCTTGAAAGATTTTGGCCTTCTCGCCTTTTCGGCTTCTTAACGCTCCAAGACGGCCCAAGAGGCCCCCAAGACCGCCCCGAGACGGCCCAAGAAGCCTCCAAGAGGGCACCAAGACGGCCCAAGATGGCCCCAAGACAGCCGAAGAGGCGCCCAAGATGGCCCAAGAGGGCCCCCAAACGACCCCAAGAGGGACCGGAGACCAGGAACCGAAAAGTCCAGCATTCAGCCCCAAGAGGCCTCCAGGAGGCCCCAAGGGGCACCCCAAGAAGTCTTAAGATGCCCCCACGAGGCCCCAAGAGGCCCCAACACGACCCCGAGGCTTTAAAACTGCCCCCCAGAGGCTCCCAAGAGGCCCCAACACGGCCCCCAAGCGGCGAGGCAATATGGGCCGGCGGAATGGGCGAAGCGATCCGCCGCCCCACTGGGTACGGCGTGCGAGATCCCCGCGGGCTGCTCATTCCGCCAGTCCGGGGGCCCAGGCTGCGCCCCGGGCGTGGGCTGGCGGCCATTTGCCTTCAGCCCTCTGGACGCCGTGTGGGACCTCTCTGGGAGCCCTCCTGGGCAGCCTTCGGACCCTCTTGGGCCCCTCTACGGTTCAATTGGCCCCTTCATGGGGCCCTCCAGGGCCGTCTCGGGCCCCTCCGAAGCCCTCTGCGAGGCATGTTCAGCCGAAAAACTAGAGAAGCCAAAAACCTTCGAAAACCCTACGTTTCGGCCTCCTCTTGGCGCCTCTTGGAGCTCTCTTGCAGCATCTTGCGCCAATCTTGGGGCCTGTCCGGCCACGTTGGAATATCTCCAAGGCCTCTCGGGCTGTCCTGAAGACCTCCCCGACTCATCTTGGGCCGTCTGGCCGCCATCTTGGCGCCATCTTGGGCCGTTTTGGGCGTGCCCAGGTGGTCCCCACAGGCGCTTCTGAGGCTACAAAACTAAGTGGGAATGCTTCTTTCTGCCTCTCCGTATCCCTCTTCAGTTTCGTTTGCTGTTTTCGACACCGTTGGGTGCCCTGCTGGGCTGTGTTCGGAGCCTCTTGGGGCCCTCTGGGGGGCCTTTCTTGGGACCTTTCCCACCTCTTCTTGGACCCTCTCGGGCCGTCTTGGACCCCTCCCACAAACTCCGCGTTTAAAAAAGGTGGGGCGGCGGTATCTGCCCCCTCAGGGGCGTTCAATTCAATAACAACTGTAACGATGAGGGTGATGAGGAAGTGCGCGCCTGCAGAAATTCTGAACTCCTGCCATACGTGTATTGAACCACCAGGATTTTGAGGCGCCGTCGACGGCAACACCACTTCGCTCTCCCTCCCGGACTTCGCCTCCAGCTCCTGTCCAAGGCGTACCTTTTCCTGTGCAAGCTCTTCAGCACCGCCTGCACCCCGCGCCCTCCGGCCGCCTGAGGCCCCGCCCGCCCGCGCCCTGTCTCCCCAATTAGTGCTTTGCGCGGCCCGCCTAGCCCTTAACCGGAAGAGGCTCGCTCTCGACCCGCAGACCAAACAAAAAATTGAACCACCAGTCGGATTTCGCACCGGCCTGACCACCCATGTGTTGAACTTGCCAGGGAGCCAAAAACTGCGTTCTGGACAAATTCGACGTGCGCGCGCGGAGGCGCGAGGGTTTGGCGCGTGTGGTACAGCAGGGGCTCGACCACAAGACATTGTCCACGAGAAGCCCAGCCCCGAGACCCCGGGACGTTCATGGATGTTTGGTGTGGGAACGTCCAGCTTTCCACAGCAAGACCATCGAAACACAGGAAACCCAGGGCACCCTGGAGGAAAGCAGGGTGTTGCTTGGCATGGCCCCCCACTGCATTTCTTGACAGGGTTGGCAGGCTCGCGATTGTTGTTGACCGTGCTCGGCATGCGCGCGCGAGTGGCCCGCATCGTATACTCTGACACAGAGCGGCTGAGCTCCGGAGGCTTTCTCATGATTTCAGCGAGTGCGCGCACGCAGGACCCTCGCGACTTTCCTGTGGAGAACCAGGCTGGCTCTCGATATGCTCTGATAAAGTCATGCCTTGAGAAGGGCTCGAACAGCAGAGCTTGTTGTTCGAATGATGCTGACATGCGCGCGCGGCGGCGCGTGCACGTGCACCGCATGGTGCTACTGGTACTCAAAAACACAGCACGCTTCTGAAAGCAACGCATGTGCACCGCATCGTATGTTTGAACAAGGTGGCGAGGGGGGGAGGTCGATCCCGACCTGGCTGGGACGATTTGATCTGGTCTGAAGCGAAATATCACCCACATCACATCTTTAAGACACATACGACAGAGGTGTACGGACAACCAGGGCCTCGGCGAGGGGGTAGAGTTAGGTCGGGCATGTCCCCCCACAGGCGGATTTCGGGCGAACCATGAACAATGGCCAAACAATGCTCAGAACATGCTCAAACAGTGGAATGACAAATCGTCCCCGGACTGTTGTTTCCCTATTCTTGAATAGTCCTCCTGTAGAGGGACATGCCCGACTTTAAGGATGGAGTCCGATCTCTCTCTCCGGGGGAGGGCGCCGAGGCGGCCGCGGGCGCGCATGCGCCCAGGCGCACAGAGAGCCGCCAGCCGGCGCACCCAGGGCCGGCCCGCGGCCGCCGCACGGGCGCCCACCCGGCGAGGAGACGCGGCACCGCGAGCCAGCCCACGGAGCGGCCCCGTGCGCCCACCGCCCCGGGGGATCTGGAGGCGCCAGGCTGGCGTTTCCCAGGCCTGGGGGCCACCTCGCTCGCCCGCTCGCGGAGCGGGCGGGCCGGGCGAGGTGGCCCCCAGATCCAGGAAGCGTGGCCACCGCGCTGGCTCGCTCGCCGAGCGAGTGAGCGAGGTGGCCACGGGCGGTCTCTGACCGAAGGCCCAGAAACGCCAGGCAGCGCACGAGGCGGCGACGGGGCGGTCCCTGGCGCCATCTGGCCGAAAACTTGGAACCGCCAGCAAATTCGTTGAGCACTCAACAAGAAACGATTCACTCAAGCACAGCTCGGGGAAATATCTCATGGCTTCGCTGGAAAGTTTCCGCCTTGCGACCTTCCGAGCATCCCTCCCAAGTTCATTATTGGACGCCCAGCTTTTCGCCCAGAAGGATAACCAGGAATAAAACATGAGCGGCTCGTGCGCCCGCTTCGCAGAATGGAGCCACTCAGAATGCATATGGCTGACGGCTGCCTCGGTTAAGGCAATCGACGATCGCCCTTCCCCAATGGCACCTCTCCTTGATCGAAGGCCGCCGACGGCGTCCCATGTGTGCACGCTCGGACCGGACGGGAATTGTATGGGGACGACGTTGCGAGCTGCGGCGGGCCGAGAACCTGAAAGGCGAACTGCTGGGCGAGGAACTCGGAGTAGGCGACAAAGGCAGTGCTGCGAGGATGCCGCGCCATCTCCCGGAAGTTGAGCAGCAGCGCGTGCGAGAGAGCGGCCGGCGTGGCACCCACGAGAGGGAAGGCCTGATACACGAGCATCGGCTTGTCGGTCAGCCCGCGCATCATGGCGCAGATCGCCATCGGCTGGGCGCACACGAGCAGCTCCATCTCCTGGAAGGCGCCGTCGGACCGCATGCCCTCGTGCAGCTCGCGGAGCAGCTCCGCAAACTCCCACACGGGCCTGTACATCTGCCGCACCAGCAGGCCCACGGCCTCGTCGATGTGCCCGTTGGCGGCGCAGTGGCCGAACAGCTGGCAGAGCAGCTCTGGCCAGGGGTAGCGGGTCCCGTAGACCGTGGCCCGCACCTCGACGTCGGACAGAGAAGAAGGAACAACCGCACAGGAATGCACTTTTGGCGCTCCGCGCGGATTTCTTGGATCCGCGCCAGACCCCCCTCCCTGGCGCGGAGCGCACCAAGGGCGGCGCCCCCCTGGCCCAGCGCGGATCCAAGAACTCCGCGCGGAGCACGTAGTAAAGTTTGTACTTGTGTGGTTCTTTCTCCTTCGAGGACAGGCGGGCAACGGCCGTGACGAGCGACAGCGGCTCCTGGGGAAACCAAGAGGTACCGATACCGCGACTCTCCACGGCCGTCTCCTGGGGTGCGTTCTGACCAGCATTTCGAGGCGAATCTAGCGGTGGCGACGAAGGCCTCCCAGGAGACCCCAAAAGGGGAAAACGAGGCAAGGGTAGCGATATGGGTACCTTGGGCGCCCGAGTTATCCGGGGTAAGTCGGGCCCGGGGTAACCCGGGCTTGGATTCCTGAAAAACGAACCCGAGTTAGCCCTGACCCGAGTTACCCTGGTGATTCGGGGCTCTGGACGCCCGAATTATCCGGGGTAACTCGGGCCTGAGGTAACTCGGGTTCGGATTCCCGAACCCGAGCTAGCCCTGACCCGAGTGACTTCCGATGATTCGGGGCTCTGGACGCCCGAATGATCTGGGGCAACTCGAGCCTGGGGTAACTCGGGCTCGGCTGCCCGAAACACGAGCCCGAGCGCTAGCCCCGACCCGAGGGACCCCCGATGCTTCGGGGCTCCCATAGGGACCCCCCTTCCTCCGAGCTCCTCCTCCATCTCCTCCTCCTCCTCCTCCTCCTCCTCCTCCTCCTCCTCCTCCTCCCTCCTCCCTCCTCCTCCATCCTCTTCCTCCTACTCCTCTCCTCCTCCCTCCTCCTCCTCCTCCTCCTCCTCCTCCCCCCTCCCCATCCTCCTCCCCCTCCTCCTCCTCCTCCTCTCCTCCTCCTCCTCCTCCTCCTCTCCTCCTCCTCCTCCCCCCTCCCCCGCCTCCTCCTCCTCCTCCTCTCCTCCTCCTCCTCCTCCTCCTCCTCCTCCTCCTCCTCCTCCTCCTCCTCCTCCCAGCTCCATGTTGCTCCCCAGGTGCGAGCCCACGAGCACCACCGGCAGCGCGGCGCCGGGCGTCGGCCACGGCCCAGCGCCGCCCGCGCCTGGAGCGGCGAAGTGCGCCGCTATCCTGCGGCGGCTCAAGGCTTGTGGCCCCGAGGTGACGAACGAGCAGCACACACCCATACCCATAGGTGGGTCGTTGAGAGGAGGACTGGCTATGGGTATGGGTGCGGGTTGTCGGACCCTGGGGAACGCTCCCGTTCGAGCGGGGACCCCCATCCGACAACACGCACCCATAGCCCTCTCCGACCAAACCCCTATGGGTATGGGTGTGTGTTGTTGGTTCGTCACGAGGGGTGGTGGTGGTCCGCACAGCTCGCGGGGGGCGCGCGAGCGTGGAGTGGCGATGCAGGGATGCGGCGCGCGATCGCCAAGTCCATGGGTCGGGGGAAGTGCCCTCCCCAAAATGCGGCCGGTGCCGCCGCGTTCGGCGGCGGAGATCCGCGATGTCCCATGGAAACGGGACCCGTCGCAAATCCACGCCCCCGGGATCCATGTTTGCGATCGCCTGAACAACGTGCGGTAGCGCCAACGTGTGTTTATTCACCGAGGCTCTTCCATACGACGCTGGCGATGTAATGATCTGCGGGTGTGGCCGAGCGGTGTGAATTCACACATTGGGCTGACACACGTCCTGAGGATCATCGATCCGAAGCCGAGGGGCCTGTTTTTCGTGGCGGCGCGGCAGAGGCAGCTCGCTCGCGCGCTTCGAAGGAGCCGGGGCGGAGCGTACTCTTGTTGCCCGGCTGCAAGAGAAAGAGACGAGGGGCCTCAAGCAGCGTATAATCAAAACTGGGGCCCCATCCTTCCCCAGGTGAGGAGAACAGTTATCGTGTTGGGTGGAAGGGGTTCGAGGAATAAAGGGTATGTAGAGCAATAGCATCCGGATGCAATGCACGATACCTTTGAAAGAGCGTGTTCTACCGCTGCTGGCGGAAAACCAGGGGGGGTCACTACCGGTTCGAACCCCTCCCCCCCCCCCCCTCCGGAAAACCGGGGGGGGTCACTACGGGTGCGAAACCCTCCCCCCCCCCCCAGCTCATCATGAAAAGGGGGGGGGGGTTAACGGTTCGAACCCCCCCCCCCTTCGAAAACCGAGTGGGGGTGCGGACAGTGGTGGGGACGGTGTTGGTGGGGACAGTGGTGAGGGGACAGCGGGACAGTGGTGGGACAGTGGGGGGACAGTGGGGGGACAGTGGGACAGTGGTGGGGACGGTAGTGGTGGGGACAGTGGTGGGGACAATGGTGGGAACAGGGGGGACAGTGGACAGTGGTGGGAACGGTGGTGGTGGGGACAGTGGTGTGGGGACAGTGGGAATGATGTGGAAACACTGGGACAGTGGAGGGTACAATGGTGGTGGAGACACTGGTAAAGGCGGTGGCGAGGACGGCGGTGGGACAATGGGACAGAGGTACAGTGGGGACAGTGGTGGGGACAGTGGGGACAGTGGTGGAAACAGTGGGACAGCTCAGTGGGACAGCGGAGGAGTCAGTGGGACAGTGGGGACAGTGGGGATAGGCAGTGGTTGGGTCCGTGGAGACAGTGGGGAGAGTGGGACCGTGGTGGGAACAGTTGTGGGAACAGTGGGGACAGTGCGACAGTGGTGGGGGCACTGGTGGGGACAATAGGGACGGTGGTGGAACCAGCGGGGGCAGTGGTGGTGAGGACAGTGGTGCTGGGAACAACAGTGGGGGATGTGATGCGAGCGGTGGTAGGGACCGGGAGTCGTTTGCTGGCGGTGCGTGGGGGTGGGGGGGGGGTCGAACCGGTAGTGACCCCCCTCCGGTTTTCGAGGGGGGGGGGGGGG